AAGTCCTGTATAGATAACATTTTTACAGCTGTTAAGCCCTTGCATAAATCAATCATTCAAAATTTAAGTTCATATCACGGTGGACAGTTGGTATCACTACCTTACATACACAAAAAACAGAAAAATAAGAAATTTGTGTTTGTTCCAATAAATGAACATCACTTTGAGAGGTTTAGAAGTCATATAATAAAAAGACTTCCATCCCTTTCATTTAAAAGTAGTGCTAATTTTTTGCATGGTACGTTATTTAAAATTATTAGTTGTGAATTTAGTAGAATATTTACTTCTAAAACTTTCTCTTTTAACAGCCGCAAATCATTTAATGAATGGGCGACAGTAGGGATTTTTAAAAGTAAGCGAAGGTTATACGAGCTTTATGATGAAAGATCATATAATAGTAGTGTTGTATTTATAGATTATGTAAAAACATATTCTAAAATATTTTAAAAAGTGTTCTCCACTGCTAAAGCTTTACATTTAAGCAATAAAATTAAAACTGCATCCGACAAAATTAAAATGACCTGGAGAATAATAAATAGTGAAACGGGCAAGGTCAAACCGCGCAACCAGGATTTTCAATTGAATATTAACAATAATTTAACGCGATCTGATCAAGAAGTTGCTATGGCTTTTGGGAAACTTTTTACTGATGTTCTATTTTGACAACACAATCATTCAATTCTTCTGCTACTGTCGCCGAATCATTGCTTAAACAAAATGTAAAGGCTTGTTCAAATACTTTTAAATTCCATAGAGTATTGTCAAAAGATATCGTTAAATATTTTAAAATTATTGATGTTAAGAAAATATTTGAATGACAAGCTCGTGGAAACTGTCCATGCGCTCGGAGCTAAGTTCTGCAAGACCCGCCGCAGAAGAACACAAAAACTATCCGATCACACTCTTAACCTCATGGCTGTTAGACGGGAGATGAAGCTACATTCTTCAACAGATTTAACAGCATACAGGCAACTGAACAGACAGATCTCCAAATGCATGCGGCGGGACTTACGCAACTTCAATACAGCTCGTATTGAAGAAGCGATCGAGCGGAACCAAGGCTCCAAAGTCTTTGCCAGAGATCTGTCTGCCAGAAAGCGCCAACTGTCAAAGCTGAAGACAGAATGTGGCAGCATCGTTTCCGGGGCACCTGAGATTTTGAGTGAGATCGAGAGGTTCTATGGGCAGCTGTACACGTCATCGTTGGAGCCGCACGCAAGTGTGAGTAACGATCCAAGAGCGAGTCTTTTCCGACATTATTCCGATGATATCCCGGACGTCAGTCTGAGCGAGATTAGAATGGCTCTCCAGCACCTTAAAAACGGCAAGGCCCCAGGCCAGGATGGAATTACAGCGGAGCTTCTGAAAGCGGGTGGAAAACCGGTACTTGAAGTCCTTCAGAAGCTCTTTAATTCCGTCCTCCATGGTGGCATTACACCGGAGGCGTGGAGCAGAAGTGCGGTGGTCTTGTTCTTCAAGAAAGGCGACAACGCTTTCTTGAAGAACTACAGACCGATTTCCCTTCTGAGCCGCGTCTACATGCTGTTTTCGAGAGTCATTACGAATCGTCTCGAGCGCAGACTTGACGACTTCCAGCCTCCCGAACAAGCCGGTTTCCGAAAAGGCTTTAGCACCATAGACCACATACATACCCTTCGGCAAATTGTACAGAAGTCCGAGGAGTACAATTTGCCACTATGTCTGGCGTATGTGGACTATGAGAAAGCCTTTGATTCCGTCGAAATTTGGGCGGTGCTGCAGTCCCTTCAGCGATGCCAAGTTGACTGTCGGTATATCGAAGTGTTGAAGTGCTTGTACAGTAGGGCTACGATGGCTATCCGAGTACAGAACCAGAGTACGAAACCTATCCAATTGCAGAGAGGTGTAAGACAGGGTGACGTCATATCCCCGAAACTCTTTACCGCTGCATTGGAAGATGTTTTCAAGCTTCTGGACTGGAAAGGATACGGTATCAACATCAATGGCGAGTACATCACTCACCTTCGATTTGCCGACGATATAGTCCTTATGGCAGAATCGCTGGAGGACCTAAGCACTATGCTCAATGACCTCAATAGTGTTTCCCAACGGATAGGTCTTAAGATGAACATGGACAAAACAAAGATCATGTTTAATGTCCATGTCACACCTATGCCGGTAGTTGTTGGAAACACTAAGCTCGAAGTTGTTGACGAGTATGTTTACCTGGGACAAATAGTCCGACTAGGTAAGTCCAACTTCGACCGAGAGGTCAATCGACGGATTCAACTCGGTTGGGCAGCGTTCGGGAAATTACGGCACATCTTCTCGTCAGGTATACCTCAAAACTTGAAAACGAGACTGTACACCCAGTGCGTGTTGCCAGTGATGACATACGGAACTGAGACGTGGTCCTTCACTGCTGGCCGGATGAGGAAGCTCAAGGTCGCTCAGCGAGCTATGGAGAGGGCTATGCTCGGAGTTTCTCTGCGTGATAAACTCAGAAATGAGGATATCCGCAGTAGAACTAGAGTGACCGACATAGCCCAACGGATTAGTAAGCTAAAGTGGCAATGGGCCGGCCATATAGCTCGAAGAACCGACAACCGATGGGGAAGAAAGGTTCTCGAGTGGCAGCCTCGTACCGACAGGCGAAGTGTAGGGCGTCCCCCCACTAGATGGAGTGACGACCTGGTAAGATATGCAGGAAGTCGATGGATGCAGGTGGCTCAGGACCGTGCTTTGTGGCATTCTTTGGGGGAGGCCTATGTTCAGCAGTGGACTTGTGAAGGGCTGTAATGATGATGATGATGATGATGATGATGTTAAGAAAATGGCAGACTTATGGGGGATTTCCGTTAAAGTTATTTTGTCTATAATAGATATAATAGCACCTTATTTAGCCACTATATTTAATACAATCGAATCTGGTGTGTTTCCTTATTTAATGAAACATAGTATAATTATACCTTTATTTAAATCTGGTAGTACATTAGACCCCGCAAATTTTAGAATTATAGGAACAGTTATTTCTGTACTACCAATATTTAAAATTTTTGAAAAAAAAAACAATTTTAGATCAGATGTTACGTTTCTTTAATATTAATAAATTGCTACATAAAAATCAATTCGGTTTCACAAGGGGTCGCTCGACAACTGACGCTGAGCTTATTAAACATATTTTTTGTGCATGGGAGAATTCAGAGGATGCTTTGGGTATATTTTGTGACCTTTCCAAGGCCTTCGACTGTGTTCACCATGAGACATTAATCATAAAGCTACAGTACTATGGTGTCAAGAACACAGCACTTAAACTTATTATTTCATATTTAAGTAATAGAATGCAGAAGGTTATTATAAATGGTAAAAGTTCTTCCGGGTCACCTGTACGGGTGTCTTTCAGGGCTCGATTCTCGGCCCATTCCTGTTTCTAGTGTATATTAATGACTTACCTTCCCTTGTAGAGGATAATCATGATATAGTATTATTTGCTGATGATACTTCCTTGATTTTTAAACTTAAACGTCAATCATTTAAATGTGACGAAGTAAATAATGCTATATCAAAATTAGTGCATTGGTTTAACGTTAATAATCAACATTTAAACGGAGATAAAAGTAATTGTGTTAAATTTACAACAACGAATGTTAAAAATCTGAATACCAATTCGTTTTTAAATGGGGAGAAAAACAAAACAGTGGATACAACAGGGCTCCTGTTGTATCCACTGTTTTTCTTGGCATCACTCTCAAACGCAAAGCTTCAGTGGGGCCCCCATATATCCAAATTAGCCAGCAGACTAAATTCTGAAGCCTACGCTGTAAAAAAGATTAAAGGTCTCACTAGTGTCGAGAGAGCTAGATTAGTTTATTTCAGTTATTTCCATAGCATAGTGTCTTATGGGATTTTGCTATGGGAAAATGCGGCTGATTCACAAACTATTTGTGTTTTACAGAAGAGTGCCATTAGAGCTATTTACAATCTTAAACCGAGAGAGTCTCTTAGAGATAAATTTAAAGAAATCAATATATTAACTTTGGCCTCTCGGTATATTTATGAAAATTTTATGTATGTTCACAAAAACAAAGGTAGTTTTAGTAAAAAAAGTGATATATATTCTGTAAACACTAGGAACAAACACAAGCTAGTGATACCAGTTTCTCGACTCCACAGAGTCAGTAATTCATTCTTGGGGCAATGTATACGCTATTACAACAAGGTCCCTTAAAGTGTACAGGCTCTCTCTATTACCAAGTTTAAATGTTTTGTTATGCTGAAACTGTTTAAAAAGGGTTATTATAGTATAAATGAATACATGGTTGATAATAATCCCTGGGAATGAGGTGGTCGCTTCCAAGCAGTTTCTAAAATAAATTTTGTAAATAGTTTGTAATCATTTATATTGTAAAATTTATTTTTAACAAAAAGTCCCGCTGTGTTTCTTGCTGGCTCTTCCCAGGACAGAGGGTTTTTTTCGAACCAGTGGTAAAGTAAAAAATGACTTTCAATAAGAGTTAAACATGTAATGTATATTGAATGAAATATTATTTTATTCTATTCTATTCTATTAAATATCCAGTACTAGATCTCTCGCTTTCTGGTACTGGCTGCCCGTCGCCGGTTTCGGTATTCACATGGGGCGAAAACGAGATGGTTATGGTAATAGATCCTTTTATGTCGCCAACGTGTGGTGGTAAGCGAATTAATTATATAAATTACTGGCTCATTCGGTTCAACGAACGCAGTCTTGGGCATGGCTAGTAGTAAATAAATATGCTCACAATTTATAACTTTATTTAAAAAAATCGCACTAGTAGTAGTTCAATAAAACAATAATTAAAACCTTTAACATAAAATAAATTAACTTAAATAGCTCAGAGCTATTGAATTATAGGAATAATTAAACAGTATATTTTAAAGAACACAATGGATCATTTTATTATGTCGTGCCGATTATTGTGAAAAGTAGTCAGTCAATACTATTACCACAATTTAATATCACTTATAAATATTTGCTAGTTTTATTCTCGATGAGCATTCAGCACCAATTCTTTTAATTTTCCCTGCGCTATTTTACCCGACGAGGTCATGGGTAATTTATCGACGAACACGACTCCCCCACGTAACTCCTTATTCTTTGACAGGTGGTCTGAAAATAAATTATTAGCATCTTTACAGATTTCCTTTCCTTTGAATTTCCTATTAGTCTTCTTCTTCAGCACTCAGCCGTGGTATCTCAGGGGTCAAGCATCCGCTGTAAAATTCACAATACGTGAGCAACTCGGATTCCATCCGCGCAGGCACCAATGACATTGTTAATTGCAGCTTTAAGTGCTGATTTATCAAGTGCTCGACAGTTAAGGAAATGCATATTTAAGAAATTAAAACAAAAATTTTGAAGAAATCCGCCAACGCGCACGAGGGTAGCAGACGTATATTTCCTTGCGCTGAAACCGTCTCAAAAGTGAGAGGAGCACTATGCCCAGCAATGAGACGTATAGGCTGGATTTATCGCCACAGATAAGATTAGAGCATGATTCATCCAGTCGTTATAATCTCTGACGATATACATACTATTCACGAATAATCCATTGGTGAAGTGCTAAACATGGCGTTCCCATAGGTTGTCTCAATAAAGTGTCTCAATTTACGCCATAGTTGCTACATGGTTGCCACGCTCAACCGGCGGGTGAGCTACCGCAGTTTTGTAGTAAAAACCTCTTTAGAATCGTTGTAATTTGAAAGTCGGAGACATACACATCTATAGCATGCAGCCTGCAAGAGAATGATACATACAGTATAAATTCTATAGAATGTACAGTATACATTCTATAGAATATATACTGTTTCTCCTATTATCTCGGTCTCCTTTTCTAAAAGTTTCACTTCTGCCGCATGTGAACTGCACACGTTCTTTATTATTATTTTGAGTCGTCATCAGGAAAATGCTTCTGCCCATCTCTAGTTTCTTTTTCCTCGGTTGCTTTTTACGAAACTTGCAGCTCTGCCATTTGCTTCATTATTATCGTCATCATCAACAGTCCGTTAGAGTTCCCTGCTTGACATGGGTCTCTCCTGTTTTAGAGAGGATTTGTCTTAATGGTCAAGCTTGGCTAGCGGATTGTCGATTGTAGCACCTGCGGTGCTGCACCCCGTCACCGGTATTATCATAAACTAGATGGCTTACCCCGCCATCTACCGGATGCCATGTGGTCACATTTTCCTTAGTCGCCTCTTACGACATCAACGGAGAGAAATGGGGTAACGCGTTCAGGTACTCCGCCTCCACGCGGCCATTTAGTTACGAATACATAACACTTAAGAAGAAGAAGCATGAGAGTAGAATAAAGGCTGTAGAAATGCGGTCATTAAGGCGTATGCTAGGGCTGAATCTGAATGACAGGGTGATAAGTGAAAAGTGTGGTTTGCAAGATGACGTTGTGACTAGGAGTAAAAAAGGAATGCTTCGGTGGTTTGGTCACGTAGAAAGAATGAACGAGGAAAGAGTGACAAAGCAAATTTATGTTTCAGAAGTGAACGGCAAAGTCGGGAAGGGACGTCAAATCGGCGATACATTGAAAATGGGCCAGATTAGGAGTACCCTTAACCGACGAGCGTGTATGCGTAAATATATGGATGTAAAGGAGGCGAGATGGGTGTGTCAGGATCGCGCCAAATGGAAGTCCGTAGTCTCTGCCTACCTCTCTGGGTGACAGGCGTGAGTGTTTGTATTGTATTGTACATAACACTTACTGCAAACTAATACTTTTATCTCCTGTGCTGTTACGGTAGAGTCTGGTTTTCGAACGACACACGCCACTGGATGCTGGCCGTCTTCTGGATGCGGTATGCTAGTTACACAAACGTCCAACACTCCATGATGTTGTAGGATTAGTTCCTCTAGCTCTGACGGAACTACCTGCAAAGGTATTCGAGAATTTTCTAGATAAAAAAGAACTGATACTTACTGTTTTAGATTATAACAAGAGTTTGCTTTTTAAGAAAAGTTTTTTAAAAATAGTTTTAATAACTATTTTACAATTTTAATTTTAATTCCTTTTTGAAAATTTGGTTCCATACTATGAAGGGCTTCTTACACAAGCACAAATGTCCGCGGCGTCTTGTAGTTCAAGTTTTTGACGACGGCGCGTGAGCTTGATTTGTGTTATCACAAATTACAAGCCGTCGAAAGTTCCCTTTGTCTACCACGTTCCCAATTACGTCCCGTAGTTATATAAAAAGTACTTTTATTTGAATTACGAGATTCCAAAGGTTGGTTACTACTAATGCATCACCTTATAGGCTGCGTACTACCACCTGCTTGGGATCCTGTAATTAATAAAATTAAAACTAAACCCAAGCATACCACTGCAAAACTTCAAGACACAGTAAGTTCATTCTGCGTAGATCGGATCAAAAGTAATAATTAAAAAGCTGAAGGTACTCCCCGGTTTAACTCTCGGGAGTCGGGACGTCAATCACCTCAGTCCCCCTTGACCATGCGTGCTGTAAAGCACCCAAAACGTCGAGAATTAAAAATAAGTATAATTAAACACGATAAAATCCGTGAAAGTAGTTTTAATAAATTAATTCTCTGCTGAACATAGGTCTCTCCCATAGATTGTCTCATAGGGGGAATTTGGCCATAGTTATTTCACTTATCAGGCTAGTTAGCAACCGCAAGTTTTTTTATAATTCTGAGTGGTTACCGGGAAGATACTGCTGTGTATGAGCTGTTTCAGTTTCTCTCTGTCGCCTCTTACAACACCAACGAGAAGATATGGTTAATACGGCTAATATTCTTACACCGCCGCTACAAGATCAATTAGGTGAAACCAAAGACAATATTAACTACTATTTTTAGGTCTAAAAAGAAGACGAGCAGACTCGTATATTGTAATGGAAGTTGAGCTGTGGCACGTTTGTGCTTTTAACGTATGCACTATTTTACTGCGTTTATAAGAGTATAATAATCACTAGAATTGACTTAGGTATATAACTTAATCAATGATCACTGGCGTACGTATATCAAAAAAGTAGTCAAAGTTGTTAGAACATGCAACCTAAAAATAGAAGAAATAGGTCCTTCTCCTACTTTCGTATATTGAAAAAAAATAGTAGAAAACACCCGGGAGAGTTTGCAGCACTCCGTGGCGGTGCAAGATGGCGCGGACAATAAGTCGTTTCTTATTTATTTCATTTATTCTGTGTGACATTTTTATTACATAAAATGCAAAAAATAACACAAGTACGGCCGAAGCAAAAACGCTGCTTTCTTTATGCGGCATTATGAAATTAAAATCAAAATGGGGACAACGTGACGCCCGATATTGTAAACCAGCAGTGCGATTGTGTAACTGTGGTAGGTGGCGTAAATCGCTGCAACTAACCGCAACTGCGTTAATGTTTTGTTTTATCCACTTTGTAACCTGAAACTTATTTCTTATATTAATAAAAAAAAGACATAGACATCTAATCGATACTAATACTACCTATATGTTATTAAACTGATACATTTACACAATATGACGAAACCAAACGTCAAGACATCAAAACAAGTTACACAGTCGCACTACAGTTCCACCTGCGATATTCCAGGCCAACTTTAAAATTTTTTTAAACTAATACATACGTGAACATTGCGGTACTTGATGAGCAATTTTATTCGCTCAACAAAAAAGTAATTGTCGCTCTCGTCCCTGTATAATAGATCGCCGCTCTTGACATAGCCATCTTCCGTGAATGCCTTTTTCGTCTCTTCTGGATTTCCCAAATATTCCTTAATAAAAAATTTGATATTGTAATTTGTGATTTAAATTGACAGATGTACTTGTTTTATTCACGATTATGTAAAACAAGTACAGTATCAATACAAATCAGAAATGCAGATTAAGTTTCACCAAGTGACAACAAACGCAAGTATATATTAGGTACCTACATGAAATTGTAAATGTTATTGGTTGGTAAACGCAACATATTCTGCTTTAGATAGTGTATTTCAAGTTATTGTTTGTAGCAATGAAATTATAAATTTTTTTTTAATAGAAAAAGGGTGACAAACGAGCACACAGTCCACCTGATGGTAAGTGGTTGCTGCGGCCCATAGAGATCTACATCTATCCTCGTTTGCGAATCAAAATGCAGATGCGTTGTCACCCGTGAGGACTAAGATGGAATGCCTCATTCCCAGTAAAAAGGGCCTCCGGCCATCTGCACTCACCAAGCTAAACGCAGAGGTAAACTTCTACTTCACGCTGGTATTCTGTGAGGTCGTGGTACCACCCCGGTTCGAGCCGGCCCATCCGTGCGACAGCAAAAGCTGCCGCGTGGCTCTACCACTGTTAGATAAACAGTAAATTACAAAAATTCTTTCGTCACTAGCCCACTGATATTAATAGTATCACTAGTATTGGACGTTTCCCATCAATGGTATAAATAATATAACGGATTAGTACTTTTAATGCTGTTTTCAGTCGATTGTCTCGGTATTTTATTATAAAGTACTCTGTGATTTTATACATTAGGCACTAGCACTAACCGTAAAGGTTACATATATACCGCTATCTACCGGGAACAATGAATCATTTCTGTCATTTCAGATGAAAAATGATGACGAAATGGCGTAAGAGAATTAATGAATTAATTAATGAAATAAAAAAAACTTTATTGTACAATGGTAAATAAGAGAGAAAATAAGAGAATTCAATGAATTCTCTAACGCTGCCGCCCCCCACACAAATTCATCATTAACGAAAAATTATAAACACACCGTAAAACATAAGCCCTTCGCTAACAATTCACCGTTTTTGTACGGTTCTTTTATTTCCAATCCAGTATCGGGATCTACAAGCTGAAACAAATTGAAAAATGTTTGATTTACGTATGAAAATTATTAAATTGGATTTTACTTACGTAAAGGTTTAAAATGATCTAGACGGTTTGGTCACAAAAATCTTAATATTTTCCAAAATAATATAAAATGTTAACAAAAATTAAAATTTACCTATGCGTAGTCTGTTAGTCTGAGCTACCTGACTCTCGCTCCTGCTACTTGAAGACTAGTATTGTTTTAGACCCAGACTCAGACGGAGCCTTAGGCAGAAAAGTAGTCCTACCAGTTATATCCATACTTAACCTGGGGTGAAAAAATAACCATACCTTTTATTGCTAGCGGCTGTGGTCGGTCGTGGATCTGCACCTTCAGCAATTTCAACGCACTTGGACCACTCAAGCTGATCATATCTAAAGCCAATGGCACACATAGAGATTTTTTTTGGAGGTGACTTCTACAACTACTGATGGGGCAAGGGCAGTGTAAAGCGATCCTCCAATATATATATATATATATATGAGTTAGTGTTGACAAGCACAGGTGACTCAGTACCATGCTTTGTTCAACACTGGATAATTAGGACGACTATAATTTTATTAAATATATTATATTATGCACATTTCAGTATTCTTTTCATTCATATTTTTTTAAAGATGATAAACGACTACATAGTCCATCTGATGGCAAGTGAATGCTGAGATATATGATGGATGATAGACATCTAGATTCTATCCTCGATTAAGATTCAAAATGCAGATGCGATGTCTAAGCTCACTATACATAACACAGGAGCATTAAGCAGCTATTTTACGCTGGTATTCTGTGAGAGCTTGGTCCCTCTCCGATCAAGCGGATCTATTCTTCTATAGCTGCAGCTTGGCTCTACCACGTGTAAATAATTCATTACAGACGATCAAATGTCCGCAGCTGAACATAGGCCTCCATAGACGGCCTCATATTTGTCATAGTTACCTCGCTTGATAGACGTGTTAAAATTCGTTTTTATATTATTTCACGTTATCATTAGGAAGATGCTGCTGTCCATCCCCTGTTTTAAATCCCTCTGTCGCTTTTTACGACACTTACGAGACGACATAGGCTAGTGGATTCTCTTACGCCGCTTATACACGGTTATTTTTATAATAACATTTAGTTACCTTTATATCATAGCCAATTGTAGGCTTTCCGCAACTGCCACTGGGGCCATTCACGTTTGGCGTTAACACTGCTCCCAAAGTCTCCGTCATACCGTATGCTTCCATAACATTTGTGCTTTTTTGAAGACAAGCCTGTTAATCAATTCACACAAGTTTTATTTTTTATTTATTTAGAAAGTTTAAATGTAACGCCTTAAATAAAGGGTACATAGGGCGGACTTTATGGCATGTGGCATTCTCTGCTAGTCAACCCTGGGGGCCTAAGACAATTTTTGGCAGGTGCAAAAAATCTTACTTATATAAAGTGTACATATATTAAAAATATATAAACATAGTATACACATCTTAGCCCAAAAGGAATCGACGTATGAGTCCCGGAAACTATTTCACCTCAATTTTTTTATGTGATTCTTTTCAAATTGTCTTACTGATGATATAAATGTAGGTATGTTACCATAGGGCAACTCGGTGCCATATTTTTTTAAACCGATTTTTTTTCAATGGCATGAATTTTTATTTTCAAGCGAGACTATTTTTTATATTTTTGGATGAAATACAAATAAAGAAGGTCCTATGACTATTTACGAAAAAATTTACATTTTATTCGGATTCGAACTCACTGACTTATAACTAGTTCGCCGTCGTATGGTCTACTATGGTTTGAGCATATGTGTCTAAATTATTGCTTTTGACAAATGATTTAAATAAACTTAAATCTTTGGAATGACCGAAAGTGAATAATATGGATTGGTCTCCCTGGGTTGCAAAGAGCTGAAGTTTATCATGTACTGGCATCTGTAATAAATACATTTCATCATAATTCTGTTTTGAAATTTGCTTTGTATCTGGCTTCTATAATTATGAATTCAACAATTCTGGCTTGAAGTAACCAAATTAATGGTCTACTAAAAATAAATGGTTCAGCGGTGATTAGAGGAACCAAAACGAAATGGTTGATGCGGCGGTGCAGTATAGGTGTTTAAACGCTTATTGGACTATATTATTTGCGTAAAATTGATTTAATTTGTTGGCTGACACGAAAGGGGGTGAGCTGCTGCGGATTAAGAACAATAAATAAAACAGGTCATGAATAGGATGGGACCTTGAGAAGAGCGGCGTATCTCGTGTCTCTTGACGACTCAATGACACGATGAGCTATGTTGATACTAAATTTATTCACATAGAACTGTTCTACCTTCTTCTCAATAAATTCATGTCCACCAAACAAACTTCTAACGATTTAATAATTTTAAGAAAACATTTACGTGACGAAAGCCGCGGGTATCTTCCGTCTAGTAGGGCACGCTGACGACTGCTACCGCGGACGTTCTGTTCCACACTATGTATATGTGCCGGAAAAGTAAATAAAAGGGTTTGTATCTGCCAATCTAACTACGAGTAATGAACATCAAATTAAAAATCTATATCTATACATATAATAAAACTGTAAATAGCAGATGTCTGTACATTTTATATTTTTGTAATAAAAGTGATTGAGGGGTACTAAAAATAAGTAATTAAATACATTTCTACCATTTTTAGAATTTTCTGTCTGTCTGTCTGTCTGTCTGTTTGTTTGTTAACGTATCACGTATAAAGTACTAATTTATATCATAAGAAATGTTAAGGAAATTATAAAGTGTATCTTCGGGTTACATTTAGTCTTTATTTCATTAAAATCAGTTCATTCCATCAAAAGTTATGATAAATATTCTGAAGTATGGGTAGGGAAGTATAGGTACGACTTTGCTCAACGGTGGCTTTGTTTGAGTCATCAAGTGCATTTTATACTAATATCATATTATAAATCATAGTTAAATTATGTAAAATAATGATATAATTATGTATATCTAAAACGCAGTAAACAAAAGTATTAAAGAACGTATTAAGTATATTATACAAAAATATATTAACCTTATTAACTAAATCTGAAGCACAATAGTTAACCCATTTCTTCGATAGATGGTGGTGTTGTGAAAATATAATGCAATTGCAATGTGGTTTTTTCCTCTAGATGCGTTTTCATATTTACTGCTAATCTTTATTATATTACTCGCTGCCCTACTGCGTGTTGACAAACTCAATTTATTCTTTACGGCCGAGTACTCTATGTGGTAAATCAAATTTTAAAAGAGCTATTAACAATTGCGTTGGTTTTGGCGAGAGTCAAACTTTATTTTTTGCTTACTGTGTAGGCACTGATATATAAGTTCTCTTGCGTTTTATATAATGTATCAATCGCGTCAATTAATCTCTTTTATTTTTAGAATTGATGTTAGCAGCGTCATCTCTCTTTAAATATATACATATAATAAAAATGATGATAACATGTTGTGTCTCTTTCTGTACATTGTATATATATTTTGGTGGCTAAAATCATTATGGGGAACTGAAAATAATGAAATAAGAACATTTTATAATTTTTAGAATTGTCTGTCTGTCTATTTGTCTGTTATTATATGAACGCATCACGTCTAAAGTAAACATCTTTTATTTTCAAAGAAATCGTTAAGAAAATCATAAAGCGTATCTTCGAGTTACATTTAATCTTTGTTTTATTAAAATTGGTTAATTCTATCGAAAGTAATGATTATTATTTTGAAATGTAGGTTCGAATTTGTTCAATGGCGCCATAAAATCTCAGAAATAGTAATAAAAAGATTTGTGTGTAAAAAAAACGTTCCATAATAATTAATATACTTAAAACACAAAAAGAGATTTAAAAAGGATGTTTTCTCACGCAAAGGACGTAATAGATGGAGTTGTACAAATAACAAACTTTTCTGAATTGCTGTGTTGAGATTTTTCGCCGATGAATCGTATTGAGACTTACTGAAGAAATTTGTATCCATCGAAGCCATACAACGGAACCCGACCAAAAATAAAAATTTTGCAACGAAATGTCGTGATATTGTATTTATAATATACGCAAAATCAGTACTGCCATTTTAGCGCTTTGGGAACTAGATTTAGCGCTTTTTTGGAATGTATAGCGCGCATTTCGAAATTTTAGCACCTAGCTTAATCCAGCGCTTTTTGGTGTATTTAGCACACATTTCAATATTTTAGCGACTAGCGGGTTATTAACTCTTTTATAGCAGCACTGTTAGTCCACATTACCGATAATAATAATAATGACCTTTATTATTTTTTCCCACAAATAGTACATTGCAGTTTATCTTTTTCAAACATATTTTTTCCACAAAACAAAGAGCATGGGAGACGAGTCCAAACTAGGATACCCTGTGCTATGGATCTCCTGGCTTCCCCTTTAGGATGATCAACTTGATTTTTTTACCGACGACTATAAGCGGGGAAATCCCCTTTATTAAAGTTTTCGTTCATGGTTTTGGCAACGCATTTATTTTGCTTTATTCAGATTCAGTCAGTTGCTTAGAGCATAGCTAAGTTAAAAGTTACTTAGAAGTTATAACACAAAGAAACTGTGTAGCAACCGCAATCAGATGCTGACATCTGAAACTAAGTTGCGAAATACATTGCACTTTAAAACAATTAATGACATTTTTATTGTTCGTACAGTACTAACTACTGTTGACAGCAATTGCCATAATTATAAGTCAATGTCCTGCGAAGTATTGATACATCAAAAAAATATTGCCAGAAAAAAAAACTTAATGTTGTTTTCTTTATTATGATTATATAAAAAAACACAAACTTTGTTTGTAGTTAATTTAGCGCGAAATCTAGGGCTTTTTTAAAGCGCTGTTTTCATGAAATCTAGCGCTTTTTGTGTTGTTCTAGAGCTGAATGAGTTTTTTTTTATCTGGCAGCACTGCCCAAAAACCCTCTATTAAGAAGTAACTTTCCTTTCAGTTTTAAGCGCGTTCAGTTCCCAGTTACAGTGAGCGTGTGTTATGCGATGACCGTAAATAAAGCGCAAGGTCAAACTTTACGCGTTGTAGGAGTGTACCTCAGTACTGACTGTTTTGCACATGGCCAACTCTATGTTGCTTTTTCCCGCGTTAGTAGCCCCCGTAACCTTTTTGTGTACACCCCGGCTAAGCCTACTTCTAACGTCGTTTACACAGAAGCTCTATCATAAACGACTTAGAACTTTGATGATAATGATTTATTTAGTTACCACTTATTGATACAGTAATGAAATAAATCGTTTAATATTCTCTTACCTAAACGACAAATTCTTTATGTAAAACCTGTATACGCGAGTTACGCCGCGAGCACAGCTAGTACAAAATATACAGACTAGTATCCTTGATCAAATGTCGTTCTGAGTACCTTAATTTTTCGGTGTATGTCAAATCTAAACCTAATCCTAATTGTTCATATGCATGCATTTTATATTTTTATCTTCATTAGTCCACAAAACTCCCCTATACTACAAGATTTGCTATAATCGCTACGTTTACCAGGCAACAGACATTCGCAAATTACGCTATTCCCCGTTGCAATTTCCGGTGTTTATATAAATATCATCATCATCATCATTAGAGCTCTTCAAAGTCAATTGCTGAACATAGGCCTCCCCCAAGGAATGCCACAAAGCACGGTCCTGAGCCACTTGCATCTGTCGGTTTCCTGCATGTCTTACCATCACTCCCTTTAGTGGGGGGTCGCCATAGACTTCTCCTAGCGATACGAGGCTGCCACTAGAGAACCTTTTTTCCCCATCGGTTGTCAGTTCTTCGAGCTATATGGCCGGCCCATTGCGACTTCACCATACTAATCCGCTAGGCTATGTCGGTTACTCTAGTTCTACTACGAATATCCTCATTTCTAAGTTTATCCCACAGAAAAATCCCGAGCATAGCCCTCTTCATAGCTCGCTATGCGTTTTTAAGTGTCCTCATACAGCCAGTCTCAGATCCATAAGTCATCACTGGCCACACGCACTGGTTGTACACTCGCGTCTTCAAGTTTTGAGGTATACCTGACGAAAAGATGTGTAACCCGAACACACTCGGCTGGCGAGTTGAACCCGTCAAAAAATTGGACTTACCTTGTCGGACTCTTTGTCCCAGGTAAACATACTCGTCAACAACTTCGAGCTTAGTGCTCTCAACTACTATCGGCATAGGTGTGACATAGAAGTTACACATGATCTTTGTTTTGTCCATGTTCATCTT